CCTCTCGCTTCCTCTCTCTCTCTCCCTTTCCTCTTTCTTCTTTCCCTTCTCTCTCTTCTCTCCTCTTTGCCTCTCTTCCTCTCTCCCTTCTCCCCTATTATTAGTATGAATATATAGATTCCAATTTTATCCATGGGTTATAATTCATTTTTCTTATTAATACTTTTTTTTTTGAGACCGAGTTTCACTTTTTCGCCCAGGCTGCAGTGCAGTGGTGCTCTCTCAGCTCACTGCAACCTCCACCTTCTGGTTTCAAGTGATTTCTCCTGCCTCAGCCTCCTGAGTAGCTGGGATTACAGGCATTCTCCACCACACCCAGCTAATTTTTGTATTTTTCAGTAGAGACAGGTTTTCACCACATTGGTCAGGCTGGTCTCGAACTCCTGTCCTTGTGATCTGCCTGCCTTGGCCTCCCAAAGTGCTGGGATTACAGGCATGAGCTGCCACACTCGGCCTTTGTTATTAATACTTTTAATGCTCATACTGTCAAACGCTTAGCAAGTTGGATCCCCTTTAGGCTGGCTCCCTTCTGATATGCTCCCATAATTTTTTTTTAAACCAACACTTTCTTGCTTTCTGGTTCAAGATATTTCAGATCCATCAAGTAGCATCCCTGCTCCAGCACAGGAATCAGCCATTTCTCCAAGGATCCTTCTTTCCTTATCATGGGGAATGGTATTTAGAAACCAAAATCTTAGCACTAGATGTTTCAATTGTTACTGAGGTGTCTGCTTCCAGGCCCTTTTTGAGGAAAGAGCTAGGAAAGCTACACACACAGAGATGCATACACACACACACACACACACACACACACACAGAGGCTTGTCTATACATGTCATAGAAATTCTGCAGTTATACTGATACTTTCAATATCAATCCCACTCCACGAGGTTCTTTGTTGCCTTCCCCCCACCCACTCCGTCTTTGAATCTCACTTCTTCCACAATGAGAATTCTGCCTTTCAACAGCATCAGAACACTGACTCATATTCCCAGTCCTAAAACACACATAAAATCATTTCAGAATTGCTACACCCTAATCACCATACATATCAAATCAAATCAAGTAAAAAGAAATTAAGATGCATTTGAAGTTCTTTATTTTTTTTCCCTAGAGTAAAAGTATATTATCAAAGTGTTGTCTTTAAAGTTACTTGAATTAGTTCTTTGCCCCCGCAACCCCTGCATAATGTTATCCATTTTGTAGAGATTTATGCAGAGAAGTATCACTGCCTTCTCTATCACTTCTGTCTGGTTTTCCCTCACCTTTTGCAGGTAAGTCATTTCATTGTCTTCTGGTTTATTTTTCCTGTGTTTCTTTTTCCAAAAAAAGAGCAGACTTGTGTATTTTCTTATTTCTCCTTGCTTACACAAAAGGTAGCATATTGTAGATACTCTTCTACAATTGGCTTTTTAAAAAAACTTACCTCCTGAAGTTCATATAAATACCTTTTAGTGAAATTGATTAGTACTCTGTTGTGTGAAGTACTCTAAGGTATTCAGATAGTTCCCAATATTTTGCTATTACAAATAATGCTGCAGTTAAGAAACTTATATGTATGTACTTCCTTTATTATTATTATTTTTATTATTATTATTATTATTATTATTTTGACAGAGTCTGTCTCTGTCTTCCAGGCTGGAATGCAGTGGTGCAATCTTGGCTCACTGTAACTTCCACCTCCCAGGTTCAAACAATTCTTGTGCCTCAGCCTCCTGAGTAGCTGGGAGTGCCAGCACGCCTGGCTAGTTTTTGTATTTTTGGTTGAGATGGGGTTCTGCCATGTTGGCCAGGCTGGTAAGTAACCCATGGCCTCAAGTGATCTGCCTGCCTCAATCTACAAAATTGCTGGTGTTACAGGCGTGAGCCACTACATCTGACCTGTATTTTGGTATTTTGAAGATATATCTTCATGATATATTCCTGGAATTAGGATTGCTTAACTGAAGAGTAAATGTCTGTGTGGTTTTGTTAGATATTGACAAATCCCCCTTCATGGGGCTATACCATTTTGCATTTCCATGGTCAGTGTATGAGAGTGCACATTTCCCTAGAATCTCTTCAGTGGAATATATTATCAAGCTTTTGAATAGGTGCTAATCTGGTGAGTGAGAAGACTCTCTGTGTAGTTTCAGTTTTAATTTCACAAGTGAAATTGTACATCTTTTTCTATGTTTAAGGGCCATGTTTATGTCTCTTTTGGGGAATTTTTCCTGTTTTTTGCCCACTTGAAGATAATAGTGTCAGTGTGTCCTCAATTTTACATATTCTTATGTAATAGGGATATTAACTCTGTATCTGTGATAAATACTTCAAATATTTTCTTCCAGTTTGTTATTTATCTTTTAACTTTGTTTATGGTTTTTGCCACTTGCTTTTTTTGTAGTCAGATCTATTAAGCAGTTCTTCTCTTTCCATGTGCCTGTTGAGGTATAGTTAGAAATGTACCTACAATCAAATTTTAGAGAGATTCATTTCTGTTTTATTCTGGCACTTGCATAGTTACATTTAGACCTTGAATCCATTTGGCACTTACTCTTATATGTGTGAGAAGTGAACATAATTTTATCTTTTCCCCAACTGTCTATCCAGTTGCCCCACCACCTTTATTTAAAAGCCCATTTGCTCCCTAAGATTTGAGATAATACCATCTCTGTCTTAGTGTAGATTTCCATATGTTGTTGGGTCTGTTTCTGGACTTTCTGTTCTGTTTTATCTGTTCATGTGCCAGTACCACACTGTTTTTAAAGCAGAGACTTTATAGTATGTTTTAATGTGAGTATGGCTGGTCTCTGTTACTTCACCTCACTCCCCCCATCCACACAGTATATTTATTCCTTTTCAGTATTTCCCTACCATGTTTATTTCTCCATATAAACTTTGGTAGTAATTCAGCTAGCTACAGAAAGAAAAGGGATTGCTGTTTCATTGGAATTTTGTCAAATTTATAAATTATCTTTGAGAAAACTGACATCCAAATACCATTGAGACATCCTAACAAAGACCTCAAGATGTCTTTCTATTAGGTCACCTCTACCTTTGCGTCTTTCAGGAATATTTACAATTTTCTTCATTTAGGTTTTGAACACTTTTTAAGCTTATTCCTAAATATTTTATTTTTCTTATTGCTATTATAAATGGTTTTTTTTGCTTTATATTTTCTAACTGGTTATTTTCATGTATATGAAAGTTATTGATTTTTTATTTTTGCAATTATTAAAGTATTTTAAAATATAACTAATTTTATTGCTTGTAAGTATATAACCTCAGCATTTTTAGTGCTTCAGAGTTTACAAAGTATTTTTGCAATATATCTTTTAGTTAGTGCATATGATAACTTGATCTAGTAAAACAAAATGCCTCCTAATAGAATATATTGCTTCAATAAAATGACCTATAATTAGTTATTAATTGTATGCTGTAATGTAGTCATTATTTTTCTTAAATACTTCAAAATTATCTACTTCAATGGTAACAAATGTTTAATTTTCAAAACATAATAAAGAGGGCAAAGATAAGCTTCAGCCCAGATCTTGCCCAAATTTTCTCAAAGGTTCAAAATTATGAGCCTTTTAATAGTATGTGCTACACATGCCCAATAAATATTATCCTAGTGGTATCAAACATTCTTGCTTATTCTGTGGGTTGATGGAGCCAGAGGGAGGTGGACTTCCCTGACCATCTTTCAGTTTCATTGCATTTGCTCCCAATGCCTTTCAGCAGGCTGACCTTTCTGTGCTAGCTGAATGTCTTTGATTTTATTGCTGTAATAGAAGACCTGAAACTGGATAACTTGAAAGGAAAGTAGTTGATTTAGCTCATGATTCTGGAGTCTGGAAAGTCCAAGATTGTGGGTCTATATCTGGTGAGGGCCTTGTGCTGCTTCATAGCATTGTGGAGAAGCAGGAAGGGGAGACAAAGTGTGCCAACCTGTTTTACAACCTGCTTTTTGAGAACGAACCAAGTTCCATGAGAACTGCTTTAATCTCTTCATGAGGGCAAAGCCCCCATGACCAAACACCGTCAACAAGGTCCCACCTCCCAACACTGCTATACTGAGGAACCATGGTTCTCACACATGAACTTTTGGAAAACACACTCAAACCATAATACTGAACTATCAATATTTATTTGCAGAGAAAGTCCATAAAATCTGCAAATGCTACAAAACCTAGAAATCTTTTCACAAATTAAATGGTAGATATCGCTCCAGCTCTTGCATCCATTTAAAACACAGCAGTAAGTACACATGGAAGTTATTTATTTAGTTGTCAGACACCGTTTACTCTACAGGTGGATTTAGTGGCCACTTTGGAAGAACTCCTCACATACCCCTTTCCCCAAGGACCCCAAGACCACAGATTGAGTCCCCCTACACTGTATCATGCTCTCAGAAATGTTACCTACAACTTGTTACAACTATTCACAGACACATATGGCTGCAATATCAGATTTTTCAACACGATTGGCTTCCTAAGCATAGCATAAACGCTTCTTTTTAAAATCTTATCTGATTTTATCTTACATGAAAGGTGGTACGTTACCAGTTTTACTATGTTTTTTACTTTACTTGATGATTTCCTTAAGCTTATTCTCCTCTGTAGTCTATGTGGCCAGAAGAACGCCTAGCATACTTTTCAAACTCTTCTTTAGGATTTTTTTTAGGTCTATATAAATTTTTAAGTATAGGAATCTCAACAGAGTAAAACCATTTTCTATTTGACAAAATAAAATAAATCTAGATACTTCAATTTTGAAACCCATATGCCTGTAAGACATGAATTCTATCAAGATGATAAATTGCATGCTAATCATATCCATCTGTAGTACTTAGAAGGAGATAGTGAGCAGAAGGTTAGCACTAAATCTTTATTATAATTTGAAGAGATTTATTGAAGAACCCATATCATACTCCTAGTAGTACATAACCACTACACCAAAACAAACAAACAAAGAAACAAATTTCAAAGAATAAATGAATTCCAGAGAACATCATGGAATGCTTTGCTATATTCATTCATTTATTCATTCAGTGCATACTGAGCACCAGTCCTATACCAGACATCTAAGACCATGTTCTTAGATGTTGGGACACTGCAGTGAGCAATGTAGACACAGTGATCCAGGAGCTTATAGTCTATATAAGACTATTCTTGCTGCATTGGCTCTAAAATATATAAAAAAGAACTCTTTCGTTTATAAGGCAGAGAATTTTGTCAATATCCAAGCACATTTGAAAGAGACTTCCTCGTACACAAACTACTTCCTGTTGCTATGTGCAATGCTATGTTGGACAACTATTTTCAGGCCATTAGTTCTACAGTAAATAATTTCCTCTTTAAATTTAGTTTGTTTTGTAAAAGTTTTAAAAGAATTAGTGTACAAGAAACAGCGAGGAACTAGCTTTTAAATGAATAAATATGGCTTGCAGCATTGTGAAGGAGCATGTGAGGAATGTTTGGCTCTGCAGAAGGCAGCAGGTCTTCTCCAGTCTCAGGGGTGAACATCCAAGTAGACTGAGTTGCATTATCTATTAGAATTTATTACTGCTCCTGTAGATGCAATAATCATGATGAAAAAGGATCCTTCACAGCACAGCTTCCTCCTCTCTGAAACAAGAAAGACTTGATTCGAACAAGATTGAGATAAATGAGTATCTAAAATCCCAGTCCTTCCTCACCTGCTAGAAGCTGAGAGAGCCTGATAGGACAATAAGAGGAGATAATTACAGCTCCTATTTCCCTGACACTCAGCCCACACCCAAAGCTGACTATTGAAAGGAAAATCCTTCTCATCTAATGACATCATATAATCATATGTGAAACAATGGAAAGTGCTGAATAGAGACCTTTATACAATTCTTCCAAGGTAATCTGACAGGCTAAAGAGACAGTATGTTTCCCAAGCTGTGTTTCCTACCCCTGGTATGAAGATGTTGGAATGACTTTATGATCTGGGTTCAACCAAGGCTCCAGTTTCATCTCGTCCCTCCCCATAGCAGACCAATGGCTTACTAAAGATTCTTTAGGTTACAACTACCAGAAACCAAACAAGCATTTCTACACAGAAGGGGCATTTATTAAAAGAATATTACCATATCTCCTGGAATCCAAGGAAGAGGAAAACTCCCCAGGCTCTGGAAGATCCAGGAACTTCCACAAAGGGAAGTTCCATTCCTCTGCCATGAACATGGCTCAGCTCCCAACAACCTTAGTTCTAAATTCCAAAATCATAAGAAGAAAAATCCAAATGACCCAGTCAATATTTTCTTTCAGACTCAGGCAAGGCTGGCCCCTGCCCTGGGCTCCACACTTCAGAGGGCCCTGGATATGACAAAACCATGAAAAAAAAAAATGTATTAAAAAACAGATGGGTCTCTTTATCACTGGGATTCTACATGTAGTTCTTGGTGCAACACAAGTGGTAATTCTAAATCCTCAGGGAAACATTTCTCTATGTATCTTGTCTTAGGATCTTGAGTACAAGGCAACCACATTTGAATTACATGAGACTTTCTGGATTGTGCTGCTGTGGATGTTTGAAGCAAACAGTGCTTTAGAGTGCAGGGGAGATTTGTGTAGCTCTTGCACATAGAGAAGAATAAAGGCAAATAAATTAACTTGTAAAATCCATGTTATCAGATACCATAAATAGAATAGATCCCCTTATAATGAAAGTCTGTTTCCCAATAGCGCTGAACATTGATTCTTTTATTTCTCTTCTTGTTACCATTTGCAGCTCCAGAGGCACTTATGATTTTAGGGTGGCATTCATAATAGTTAACATGTAGCAGCTGAGAAACATTTTGGAATGTTAAGCAATTCAGATTGCTTTGAAATTTGTATATATATGGGTCTATAATATCACTTAAACATAGTATAGATTCTTTTAATTGTCAACTAGTTGGACATTAAATGGTAAAATTATAAACAGTATTGTTTTTATGAAACAACAAAATTTTATTAAAATTGTAAAAATTTTAAAATTCAGCTTGATTTAACTAATTTTGAATAAAATTATGAAACCCACCAATTACAATTTGTGTTTTACTGCTTAATTTTAAGAAATGATTTTAGGGCCAGGCACGTTGGCTCACGCCTATAATCCCAGCACTTTGGGAGGCCGAGGTGGGCGGATTACCTGAGGTCTGGAGCTTGAGACCAGCTTGACCAATATGGAGAAACCCTGTCTTTACTAAAACTACAAAATTTACTAAAAATACAAAATTAGCATGGTGGCGCATGCCTGTAATCCCAGCTACTAGGGAGGCTGAGGCAGAAGAATCGCTTGAACCTGGGAGGTGGAGGTTGCAGTGAGCTGAGATCATGCCACTGCACTCCAGCCTGGGTAACGAGAGTGAAACTCCATCTCAGAAAAAAAAAAAAAAAAAAAGAAATGATTTTAAATATTTTAGAAGAAAACACTTCTTTTGGAAAACTACATTTAATTTTTAAAATTGTATATATATTCTAAGTTGTAATTTTGAATGAAAATGTAGTAAAAATACATTTAATTTTTTAATCTTTTAGATCCTTAGGAATGACTACAAGTCAAAATCACAAAAGAAGTAGAAAATGTAAAAGTAACCCCAAAATAGAAAGAAGAAATAAAGAATCTTCAAAGAGGATGTTTTCTTAATTTTTTTAAACTCACAATTAAATTGAACAAATGTATGTTAAGCATAATCTACATAAGAGTTATGAATAAGATATTACAAATTCTATATATACTGAGGCTTTACTGACTGTTCAAAAAATGGAAATGTACAAAAAATTGTCCCAGTCAAATCCACAACTTGTATGCCTCTGATGAAATTCCTGCAACTAAGAAAACTCAATAATTCACATTTTAAAATATGAATATTTCTTATCAATTGAAAATTTAATTACTTATCAAAACAAAAAAGATTTGAAACGATATTTATATCAAAATCACAACCCAAAAACATCAAATGCAACTCGGCATTTCCCTTTAAAAGATGCAAAAAAAAAAAAATGACATTCATGCATTATAAGTTGAATGAGAAAGACAAAATCTCTGGAACTTACTCTTTATTAGATGATGATTCTAGAAAACAGTCCATGTGGACTTTTGACAGTGTGAAAATGTTTCTTGCAAAATACACTCTGCTGCAAGTAAATGATTTTGATTTTTCATTGCCTGAACATTGCAGAAAATGTTATACTCCATTTTATATCAAAATTCTCTCAAATGGAGAGAAAAGTGTTAAAACTGACTTTTACGTTTTCACATCAAAAACAAAATACTATGTTACTACTGTCAAATGCTTCACAACTAATCTTCAAAATGAAGGTATTTGTTGCTAACAACACTTAGGATCTCAATCAAAGAACACAGATATATCAGTTGTGCATGTATACACAAACACAAAACAAAATGTACGATTACTAGAATTTTTTTAAAAAAATTTAAACAGCAAAAATTGATAGCATTCTGTAAAGGAAGACATAGGATATTAGCATGATATATTTTTTAAAGGTTATGTATTTCATATTTATCCCAAAGTTTTCATAGCACAAACAACAAACATTTTCAGAAAACAACAGGAATTTTTTAGTTTAAATAGAAATTATTGAGAAATGTTATACTATAATGTTTGAACATGTAAGCCCAATAAAAATAAAGAAACAAATGTCAAAGATCAGAAAGTTGTAGATGTGTGGTCTTATTTCTAAGATCTCTATTCTACTCCATTGAAAGGATTCCCTATTTAATAAACGGTGCTGGGAAAACTGGCAAGCCACATGCAGAAAATTGAAACTGGACCCCTTCCTTTCACCTCATACAAAACTCAACTCAAGATGAATTAAAGACTTAAATGTAAAATCTCAAACTATAAAAATCCTAAAAGAAAATCTAGGCAATACCATTCAGCACATAGGCACAGTCAAATATTTCATGACAAAATCACCAAAAGCAATTGCAACAAAAGTGAAAATTGACAAATGGGACCCAATTAAACTAAGGAGCTTCTGCACAGCAACAGAAACTATCACCAGAGTGAACACACATCCTACAGAATGGGAGAAAATTTTTGCAATCAGTCCATCTGACGAAAGTCTAATAGCCAGAATCTACAAGGAACTTAAACAAATTTACAAGAAAAAAACAAGCAGCCCCATTAAAAATTGGGCAAAAGACATGAACAGCCACTGCTCAAAAGAAGACATTTATGTGGTCAACAAACATATGCAAACAGCTCAACATCACTGATCATTAGAGAATGCAAATCAAAACCACCACAATGAGATACCATCTCAAGCCAGTCAGAATGGTGATTATTAAAAAGTCAAAGAACAGCAGGTGCTGGTGAGGCTGTGGAGAAATAGGAATGCTTTTATACTGTTGATGGGAATGTAAATTAGTTCAACCATTGTAGAAGACAGTGTGGTGATTCCTCAAAGACCTACAGAACCATAAATTACATTTGGCTCAGCAATCCCATTACTGAGTATATACCCAAAGGAATATAAATCATTTTATTATAAAGATGCATGCATGCATATGTTCATTGCAGCATTATTCACAGTAGCAAAGACACGGAATCAACCCAAATGCCCATCAGTGATAGACTGGATACAGAAAATGTGGTGCATATACACCATGGAATACTATGCGGGCATAAAAGGAACAAGATCACGTCCTTTGCAGGGATATGGATGGAGCTGGAAGCCATTATCCTCAGCAAACTAATAAGGGAACAGAAAACCAAACACTGCATGTTCTCACTTATAAGTGGGAGCTGAACAATGAGAACATATGGACACAGGGAGGGGAACAACACGCACTGGGTTCTGTCGGGGGATCTGTGGGAGGGAGAGCATCAGGATAAACAGCTAATGCATGTGGGGCTTAACACCAAGGTGATGGGTTGATAGGTACAGCAAACCACCATGGCACATGTTTACCCATGTAACAAACCTGCACAAACGTATGTAGCAAACGTCCTGCATATGTAGCCCAGAACTTAAAATTAAATTTGACTTAATTTTAAAAAGAAAGAAACCAATGATTACTATCTAAAAAGAACCCAAAATAAGATTTGAAAATGTTATGTGTAATAAAGTGAGAAAATAAATCATCCACAAAATAAAAATCTAAAAATGCTAAGTTCAACTGTATTGTACCAGAAACAAAATTCATGTTGGAAAATAACTTTTATTATTCAAATGTTTGAACTAACCCCCAAAAATTAAAATTTAAGAGTGTTTAATTTCTTTTATATATGTTGGTAAAAGCTTGGGTTTTGATTAAAATGAGGATATTTAAAAACACAATTTTCAGTGGTAGACATTAAACTGAAAGGTTATCTAGGCAGAGCTATGATAATGGCATCAACATAGTTGCTCTAAAAACGAATGTACAAGACAGAATTTGGGCTAAAATTTAAAAAGCATTCTTTGTACCATATAGTACATGATTTGGATTTGTCACATGAGACAAACCCTCCACTGTGTCAATAGTTCAACAGTGATGACATTTTGTGGAGCAATTCATTATTATATTAGATGTTTTCTGAATATGCTTATCAAATATAACTTTATCACTATACTCAGAAACACAATGAGGATGGCAACTAAATGCTGCTATAGCAATTAAATTTTATTTAAGTAAAATATATGAAATATACTAGAAGAAAGCAAAGTAGTAGAAAATCCCAAATTAAGAGAAAATTCATTATTTGACAGAAAATGAATTAATCTTGAATTTGGTTATTTCGTGTAAACTGATATCTGTTACTGGTTATGTTAGCAAAAGCTTACAACAAACTCAAATTACTTTTGGTTAACTTTTATAAAATTGAAAGTCTAATAAAATGTTAGAAAAAAATGAGCTTTTTTTTTCCAAATTGAAAGAAACAGCAGGTGACATAACAAACATGCGTTCCAATAAAGAAAGGGGAAATAAGAATGTCTGCATATCTGTGAAGGAGAGGATTCATGTATCCATAATCTCTAAGGGAATTTCTATAGAGTTTATTTTCTGAACATATTATAGGTCCAGATATAGTCTTAAATAAAGAGAAATTTCAATACATTGAGTAATATTTTATTGCTATTTTCATTTTTATAATATTACAGCACTGAATTTTTGAAAGAAGAAAAACTTTAGAAGTATTGTATGGATATTGCTGTAAGAGACCATGAAAGTTTTGTGATAGTGACATATGCAATTAAAATAGCTTATAATAGATTCTATGATCATGGCAATTTATTATAGATAGCTCCATGACAATGATTAAACATTGTATGTAAATTTCATTGTTCATTCTGAATATTAAGTATTGCTTTAAGAATTTTATTGACAATTTCCACTGCTGTCTCAGGAGAGTAAAGTTGACCCAAACTGAAAGGAAGAAGAACTGAGAGGTATAATGATTCAAAAAACATGGCTTAATTGGCCTTACTATTGACAGAATACATTTGGTGAAAATCTGAATCATAATGACATAATGATTAATTCAACTAAAATATTAATAAAAAGAAATAAAAATATATTTCATTAAACAAATAGATGATAGTTTATAAATGTACATGTCATTATTTTATTATTCATCCAAATACTGCTGGCTTATCAACTGGAAACTTTGACATGCATAATAAGAATTCAATTCCAGGGAGGCTGAGGCAGGCGGATCACAAAGTCAAGAGATAGAGATCATCCTAGCCAACATGGTGAAACCCTGTCTCTACTAAAAATACAAAAATCACCTGGGTGTGGTGGCATGTGCCTGTAATCCCAGCTACTCAGGAGGCTGAGACAAGAGAATCACTCAAACCCAGGAGGCAGAGATTGCAGAGGGCTGAGATCATGTCACTGCACTCCAGCCAGGTGACATAGCAAGACCCATCTCAAAAAAAAAAAAAAAAGAATTCAATTCTATTGTCTTTCATATTTGGCCAACACTCAATTATATAAAAATTATAGCTTCATACACATATATATTTAAAATATTGTTGTAAAGGGACATACCTGTTCTAATTTAATGTGACCAGTAAGAACAGTGTCACCCAATATAAGCACAGTTACCAGGGAATCAACTCAGTGTGCCTGGGAGCATTTTCCAAAGAAAATGCTATGAATCCCCACATGCCATTGAGACTTATCTATTATACTACTTCTCATGGTGTATCAGTTGTTTTCTGTGTGCTGGTCCATTCCAACAGAGCACAAGCTCTTTAGGGGTAAGGACTATAACTTTTCATGTTCGTTTCTAATATCTAATTCAGACAGAGTCTTCTGCATAGAAAGTACTTAAACATTTATTAAATGAATCAATGAATTCACAAATAGATTAAATTTCTGACAAATTCAGAGTTTCTAATACTCATATCACATATTAACATTATCATATATAATATTCTATATTATATAATAATATTATAGAGTTCAGTATAATTTCTTTACATCTTAATGCATCAGAAAGAGCTTTACTAAGCCATTGATACTGAAATTAAAAGAAATTCACATTCACGTTCTTGCTAAATGTTAATGATACTCAAACCTAAAGAAGTCATGAATCAAGTGAGATGTGATGGTTTCAGACTTGAATAACATTTTCCCAATTGAATTTTTTAATTATAAATATGGCAATGCTAAGTACAACCAATATAAACACAAAAGATCATAAAGTAAAAAATAAAAATCTCCTGCCCTCTCATTCATATAGTCCAAGAGGCAACTACATCTAACAGTTCGGTGGATTTCTATCCAGATATTTTTGATACCTTGAAAATATTATTTTCCACACACTCACAAAAGCCACAGGTAATTTTTTTTTCTATTCTTTCCTTTTCTTTCTTTCTTTTTTTGACCCAAACTTGAATTGTAGTCTCTAGATTGTCTTGCAACTCGTTTCCATCACTTAAAAATATTATGCTGTAAACATCTTGCTAGACAGTTTTTACAATGTTGTCTTCAGGTTATTCAGACACTGGATAGCAAGAAATGTTTAGAGTTCATTTTCAACATGTAATTATAAGTACTTAAGGAAAACAGGACTATATTATTTCAGTTGAACATCTCACCAAGCTCTTCTCACATTTATTTTCTTGATAATCTCTTGAAATGCTGGTTTGGTCTTGAAGTTCTTGATTATTGAAGCTCAAGTCTCACTGTGACATCACTTGGGAAGTCCAGGCTTATCCGGCTTATCCATGAACAGAAATTGCCCTGGGGATTTCAGATCTTCCTCATTTGGAAAATTCAGAAAATTATGTAGAAATCACATCAAGAAACCTTTGATTTGAAAGTGAACTCATTTATTAACTTTTCTATACATTTTTAAAAAGGAAAGTGTGTATGTAGAAGCATTTTCTTTTTTTAAAAAAGTGCTGCAGGGCTGAAAATATCATTTTCACTTTCATTTAGTCGGGCAAAGAGTTAACCCCCAATAAACAAACTACCATGTAACCAAGTAAACATAAGATAGTCAATTTTACTTAGAAGTTGTTTTCAGTATTTTATTGGAGCTCAGCTGAAGGGGAAGCTAGACATTTGGCTAGCTACCTTCAACCTAACAATAAAGAAATCAACACATCTGTTCTATATCTGGCCAGGCTCTGTGGCCCCCTCAAAATTTGACACATTATTATGCTTCTCTGGGCTTCCGTTATGTCATTTCTAAAACAAATGTGTTGGACGAAAAGATCTTACTGCTTTCTAAAATTACAATTCAACCAAATGATGACTTCAACCAAAACTATAATTCTCTAGTAAGGATAATTTGGTCTATGTTTCCTCGCATTGAACTAATATACAGTTTTTTAAAATAATTTTTAGGGGAAATTATGAGATATGTCCCCTAATAATTTAGAAATATGATGTGATGTCCATTACCCTCTCAGAATTAAGCTATGAAGTTAATTCAAAATGGACCAAGACAGAAAGATGAAAAGTTTGACTGAAAATATTAGCACATGTAAATGAGGGATGTATCAAAAGAAAGTTTTTTTGCCACCTCCGTCTTCCCCCATCTCTCCACCAGGGAAAATACGAAAGGGTGTAAGGAATAAGGGAGGCACAGAAGAGAGGGAAGGGTCAAAGTCAATGGGAGGTGAGTGTGGCTGCTGTCCTCACCTGGTGCTCTTAACTGCTGGAGACACCAATGATCTTGCTCACACATACTGCTCACACGCTCAGCCAGCTAACTGCAAGAGCCATTCGCCATCCCCTGAGAAAGTAAACATTCCTCCAGTCATCCATCAGTTTAGAATAACAGACATGATAAAGCCAGCAACAACATTTATGGGAAACAATGCTTCTCCCAAGGACCACAGCTATAAAGTGTCACTCAACCTTCCTTCTTCTTTGAAGGATTACTGCCTTCTCACTCATGAAGAAACATGTTTATCTAATATTATAGACTATCAAAATGTCACGTTTGAAATAGTATTAGTAGGGATGAAATACTCCATTCTTGCCCGGAGGATCTCAGTCACCTTGACCCAGTGAAGCAGCCTCCATTTCCCCATTTCCAAGTCAGTTGTAGAGCTTCAGATAAGGGGTGTCTAGACACTATATTCAACATCAATCTTGACTTTGTAGTTTTTAAGGAAACAGGGCCTGAAGTCCATGTCATGGTCTAGACTTGATATTGATCCTCTACTCACAGTCTTGTTTTGTTTTGAGCCCATCAAAGCACTGCTTCATTTAATGTTCACTTTAATTCCACCCTTCCTTCAAATTCTATAATAACTCAGCTTTTTCCTTGTTTGGAAGTGGTTCTATAAACTTAATTTTTCAGACTTCAGGTCTGTTCCTTTCGGTTCTAGGCTGATGGGCCTGATGGGCTAGGACATCTTGTAGATCTACCATAGTAGAGAATGCTCTGTGTGATTATTATATTTCTCATTATAAGTTAATTCCTTCAAATTTTAAAAAATGTTGATTCTTGCTTACAGTAGATCTGCCCCCAAGAGATAGACCCACTATTGGGAAACAAGAAAATCATTTAATTTTTAGCCCATCAGGTGTCAAAGCACTATATCTTTAAATAAGTAATGAATGAGTACTTGGTGGGCTTTAGAAGACAGCCCCAGAGACCACCTTGTGTGGGCAAGGATATATTCCTCTAACTTCTACACCTTCCAGAATGTTCTATGTTCTGTCATCTTTGATGACCATAACACTACATACTAATACTATTATGGCTCACTGAGCTGCAGAAATTTGGAAGAAATTTTGTCTGTGGAAATAATAAAATTGACACAAAAATTTGGAGGCAGAAAGTGTTTCATGATTTGGAAATCAATTTATTTTAAAAAAAGTTTTTAAACAGAAAAAGAAATTCACAAAGCATCCTCCCTAGGGTTTCTCTAAACACAGAGATTCCGTTGAGTACGTTTTTCCACACTGGCCTTTCTTTGGCGCTTTGTTTCTGTGGAGAGGCTGCAGGAACTGCTCTGGGGCTGAAATGGGTCCTGACTTCAAACTGAACAGCGTGTTCATTATTTTGTTTGAATATGATTCGCTACCAAAAAAGAAAGTTTGGAAATCACTGACATAGCTCTGCTTTTATATCATCTATTATATACGCAGAACACACTGATTTTAGAATCACAATAACCGTCAATGATCCCAATTGCCCATGTGGGGAAAAAACGTTGTTCTGAAGAACTTTGGCTTTGAACGGGTGGTTGGGAGCGCACCGGGACTAGAGCATACTTCCAACCTTTCTGGTTTACGTAAATTGGCACGAAGAAGATATCATGATGAAATTTAGTTTCTATCCAACAGAGGGCTGTCGTAAAACTGTTAGCTTGGAAGGGATGTGGCCCTGAAGGAATGAGAACTGAGGATAGGCATGGTAAGTTTGGAAGCAGAAAATGAGCATAAATGTCATTTGGCTTTTTCTTTTTGCCTAGAATCAAATAGGCGCATTGTTTTGTTCAGTGCCCAGAGGTTCAATACCATTCTTTTCTTGCCTTTCACTCATCAGCTTAGCCACCCACCCATACTGCCTTCTTTTTCTGCTGGAAATAGGAGTTTTCTCTTTGAGATCCAAGTTAACAGCTGCCCAGAAGGCCCCAGGACTCTGATGAGCAATGAACCCTTGATGTGACTGCTCTCTCCTGGGCTTTGGGATGCATGCAAGGTTCTTTGGGAGACGGGATGGGAACTGTGCTGGCCTTGGCACTGGGTGTGAAGAGCACATCACTATTTACAACTTTGGGCTTCAGTTCAGTCCTGAAAGAAGCATTAAATTTGCAAATGGTAGTAAGCTCTGCCTAATGAAAGATGGCATCAATTAAACAGCGTTGTGTGTTTAACCTATATCTCCAAGAACACAAAAACAAAAATCACAGTAGAAACTTCTAACATTAATATCATGCATAAATATTTACTATGTAATATAACAAAGATATTTCCTTAAAAAGCACTAAAGAATTTTGAAATTAGGCATCATGTGCTCATTTTTCTATACATTACAATTTTTTTTTTTTTTTTTTTTTGACAGTAGAATGAATGATGGCTGTGAAGAGGCAACTCAGTTGGGATTCTCAAATCCCCAGATTCCATGCCTGGCTCTGCTGTCGATGAGGGTGTGTTTCTTATCCTTACTGAGTCAGTTTCCCTCCAACTTGAAAATTTTAAGAATCTGTCACTATTGATTCTCGTGTCTTAAGTGTGGACTAAGCAGCTTAATCCAACGCAGTTGTTGGAACTTCATGTTAATGTTAGAGTAGGGGTTAACAAACTAGACCCATGAGTCAAATCTAGTCTTTTGCCTGTTTTGGTAAATAAAATTTTATTAAAACAACCACACCTAGTCATTTATACATTGTCTAGAGCTGCTTTCTCAGTACTCAGTACGTTGGTACTGAGAAAGCTGCAGTTCCACAATACTGTGGAATAGTTGCAACGAGAGCTTGTGTCCCACAAAGCCTAAAATACTTATCCTTTGCAGAAAAAGTTTGCTCACTGCTGCTTTAGAGAAATTAAATGTGATTCTTTAAAGGAATCATCAACAACAAAGAACTTATTTCATCTCCCTACTAAAATATTATAGAATGATCAGAAAAGGAAATCAAGAGAAAAAGAAGCATTGGGTCAACCAAAGGAGAACCCAGCTACAATCTTTACTGCCAGTTGAATATTGCTTCATACGTTATTATTATCATTAGTAGTAGTAGTAGTAGTAGTATTTGAGATGGAGTCTCACTTTGTCACCCAGGTTGGAGTGCAGTGGTGTATGATCTTGGTTCACTGCCACCTCCGCCTCCTGGGTTCAAGCAATTCTCCTGCCTCAGCCTCCCGAGTAGCTGGGGTTACAGGTGCACAGCACCAAGCCCTGCTAATTTTTGTATTTTTAGTAGAGATGGGGTTTCACCATGTTGGCCAGGCTGGTCTTGAGCTCCTGACTTTAGGTAATCTGCCCACCTTGGCCTTCCAAAGTGCTGAGATTGCAGGTGTGAGCCACTGCAGTTGGCCACTTCATACATTATTAATTGAGAAAAGGATAAAGAAGTAAAATGTTTAATTTTTATTATTTCTTTTTCTCGAGTTTAATCACACTTCTTTTAGGCTTGAACTAACGTTTGTAGGCAGAGAGTCAGTAGCTGCATAGAAGGGAAGCATGCATTCGGTTTTCATTTCATTATTACTGTGGCCCTTCCATGGATTCTGTCCCTGGTGCTCCTTTCTGCAATCTCTCCAAATAGGAGTTACAATTCTAAGAACACATTAAGCCTTCTCCCAGTCATTGTATAAATTCAGGATATTCTTCTTTCATTTGTCTGAAAACACAATTTAAGCATCAGCTTCTTGGTTACCTGCCTCTAGACAAAACAGTACCTTGAGCCTACCAGAGACTACATATCTGCTGCACGTATCATGGGTTGTGACTTTTTTTTCTAAAGAGCAGATCTTCCACGGCAGGGCCAATGTCTCTGCAGTTTGCCCTTTCCCCAACGTCACAACATGAATGCTTGAGTTGCAGGTTCAAGACAGGAAAAATGGGACAGGTGGCGCCTTATCAATTCCCCTTTAATAGGAAATCCAAAAGCTTTCTCTGAAGCTTCCAGCAGGTTAAGCTTTCTTCTCATTGGCTAGACCTGTATCTCCTGGCTCCACCTAGTGGCTAGCATGTTTTCCTGGGGACATCCCTGCCCTAAAAAAATTGGGGTGTCGTTAGCACCTGAGAAATGAGACAAGGGATCGAGGGAAGGCAACTAGCAACATAGACCACAAGATTGTAGAACTCACCTTGGATAAAGTGAATCACATAGACAAACGTGGATATAAAAATAAATAAAAATATTTTTTTGGCGAGGCGCAGTGGCTCATGCCTGTAATCCCAGCGCTTTGGGAGGCCAAGGCAGGTTGATCACAAGATCAAGAGATAGAGATCATCCTGGTCAAAATGGTGAAACCCCGTCTGTTTTAAAAACACAAAAATTAGCTAGGTGTTGTGGTGCAGGCCTGTAGTCCCAGCTGCTGGGGAGGCTGAGGCAGGAGAATCGCTGGAACCTGGGAGGCAGAGGTTACAGTGAGCCAAGATCGTGCCACTGCACTTCAGCCTGGAGACAGAGCGAAATACTGTCTCAAAATAATAATAATAATAATTTTTTTGTCCAGTCCTTTGGGAGGCCAGGGGTTTGAGAACAGCTTGGGCAACATATCAAGACACTATCTCCACAAAAAAAGTATATAAAAGTTAGCCAGGTGTGGTGGTGTGAGCCTGTAGTGCTAGCTACTTGGGAGGCTGAAGTGAGAGGATCACTTGAACCCAGGAGTTCAAGTCTGCAGTGAGCTATGATCGTACTGGTGCACTCCAGCCTGGGCAACAGAGTGAGACCCTGCCTCCAGTAATTTTTTATGTTGTGTTTAATGTTATGGGAATTATTCACTAACCCAACAAATATGTGTTAAACACCCAAAATGTTATAGGTCTAAGGACTCTTCTCTGGACCCATTTTGATTCAAAATGATCTAGCCTAAATCAAATAATGAAGGTATGTATATCTTAATATTCTTTACAGCATACCACATTGGTCAAAACCAGTCAATTCTTTTAACAGTTACGTTGAATGAAGGAAAACACATAGAAAAACAAAGATGTTGAGTAATGAAGTGGAAACAGAGCCCCACCCCACCCCCTACCAATTCACTAGATCAATTAATGACTGAAAAGGCTTTTCCTAAAATTTAAAAACAAATTGACTTGAGACT